TGTGTTATTCAAGCAGATTTCATGGATCATGTCACTGATGAAGTGGTTCAGAGAGTGGATCAGAAGAAGCCAGACACTGGCACTGGGACAGTTTATAGTCCTGTTGTCTGTCTGTCTCTGTCTCTCCTGAGGTGTTTGAGTGTTTGATGTAGTGTCCACATACGTGGACAGCACTTTTTACTCTTACGTTCACAATCATGTTCAGTGCTGAAGTGGGGCTGTTATAGACACATGTGTGGGCAGTGACTCGACCATCCAGTCGTGTCAGAAGAGCCTAACTTTCTATTGTCAAAATTCAATATATCGGTGAACACATGGTAATATTCAAGTGGCAGCTCCATACACAAACATCCATCAGGTTCGAGGTGCTGTCATATTTTATGGCTTATTCTGATTTAGATATTTATGAAAGTGTTGTACATCTGTCATGACATGCAAATTTGAAAAAAATAATGTAAAAATATCAACTTAGTATGTGAGGTAACATGATGTACACATAAGTGTACTTAGGGACTGAAGCTCCTTGAAAACACTAAAATACTAATCCACATTTACATTTGTACAATAAGAAAAAAGCAATATCTGTTGCAACTAAAAATCTGTACATTGTCTCAGTGAAATAAATAACAATCAAATCACTAAATACATACATATATTCATAGATTAGTTGGCTTGAAAATGTTGAAAATCTAATATGGTAGTAAAAAATGTTAGTTCACTTACTTACTAATTTACAGCTAACGCTGAACATCTAAAATTAGGGTGTCAAATTATCGCGTTAATTGCGATTAATTAATTACAGTCATATTTAGCGTGTTATGTTTTTTAATCGCGTTAATCTCATTTTTAATCTCTAACTTTAGTGTTTCTGTATGTGAGTTTCTTTATTATAAAACCTGTTTTTATGTGTTGTTGGGACAACACACACACACACACAAAACACATTTATTTATTTTTTTATTTCGGTAATTCCACTCATTGCCGGAAACCCACACAAAACGCGTGCAGTAAGAGCGATGTAAACGTCATGTTCACGTTAGCGGCGTCAGTTGCACAATGGAAGAGGTGGAAGAGCCAGTAGAACAGAGCAGCAGTGCACAGGGAAAAACACATTCGTGTCTTGGAAATTCTCTTTCCGACGTGAAATATAAAAGAAAATAACAAATATAAATCGCTGAAAACAACCTGCATAGACTCATGATGTCTGCACTACTGTCCTATACACACACACACACACACACACACACACACACACACACACACACACACACACACACACACACACACACACACAACACACACACACACAAACACACACACACACACACAACACACACAAACACACACACAAACACACACACACAACACACACACACACACACACACACACACACACACACACACACACACACACAACACACAAACACACACACAAACACAACACACACACAAACACACACCTTCATCATCGTCATTAACCTGAGAACGCGCGGACCACGTTTCTTTCCATAGACACTGCCTGGACACCGACCTGCTCCCGTGAGCCGCGTGTGGATCGTGTTTTCTCGCGTACGCTGCGTAAACCGCACTTCCTCCTGTGCCTCTAAACCAGAACTAACACCAAGACTAAAACCAGGACTAAACCAGGACTAAAACCAGAACTAAAAACAGAACTAACACCAGGACTAAACCAGGATTAATCCATTCCAGGACTAAACTAGGACTAAACCAGGTCTAAACCAGGACTAAAACCAGTGATCTCATATATAAAGCATTTCTCTATCAATAATATTTTTAATCTGGTTAAGGAAAGACTGGACTTTTTATTGTCTTTAAGTCGACAAAAGTTATTATGTTCAGATTTCCTCGTCTTTGCTACTTTACAACAAACAGTTTCTTATTCATGGAGACTTGGGCTCAACAGCCAAATTGAAGAGATTTGTTAAACAATAAATGACTTTATAAAGTCACTTTTTTTAATCTATATCAGTGTTTTGATCTGCCACAATAATGTAATAATGAATTTAAATGAAAATACCTCAAATTGAAGCTTTTCTCAGCAATTTTTAGGTGAGATTAAAATGAGATTAATTAGATTAATTAATTACAGATCATAATAATTAATCTCTCAATTTTTTTAATCGCATGACAGCACTATCTAAAACACTGTACATTGTACCACTGATATAAATACTGCATAACTACATACATAAATGACATTTCATCTGGTTAGGGTCACGGTTATGTTTTTATTTCTAGAGTGTTTTTCTGTACAGAGAGCATTAGAGCTACTTGGGTGACTTGATGGAGAGAACTTGGATTTGGACTTGTCTGACAATGATGATCATATCATGGATGAAAATGACCAAACTTCATCACAGGAGCAAAGCAGCAGTGAAGATGAGGCCCCCAGTCCTGAGCCCATTCAGCACAGCAGACCTAAACGTTTGTGTTGCAGATAATGGTTAGTCAAGACCCAGTATATATTTAGATTTGATGGAGTTAGGGCCTCAGGGCTACATGAAGAACTGGCAGCAAATGCAAATTAACAACACTTGTTGACAGGTTCATGTTCAGGGACAGAAACAGGGGCAGAGACAGCGACAGGTTCATCCTGCACTTACACATGTCACTGTCAAAGTCAAAAGTTTGACACTGATAGTTCAGAAGATTTGGGCGAGTCAACACCAGGACCAAGTCAAACCAAGAAAAAGGGAGTGTCCAAACAGAGTAACCATTATTATTTTTGTCTTTTAGTATTATTTTATGTATTTATTATCATTAATTTAATTTAGTATTATTTACACAATACATATATTTTTATAAATAAATATAAATACATAAATAAATACATAAATAAATATAAAAATACATATATTTTATCATAAATCTGGTTGTGCAGGACGTGGAATTAGCTGGAAAGCAACTCCATTGACCCCAAACATTGCAGAGAATCAGCATCAGGACGAAACTGATCTAGACAAACATGACGGGACCTAACGAGACCACGGTCAGAACTAGACAGAGATTTGATGGAGGTGATTGCAGAATGTTCTAATGTTATGTGTTTTTAATACATGCAAAATCTGTCAGGAAAAAAAAACTGAAAATAAAGAGTTTTTCTTTCCATGACTCAAAGGGACTTTCTTGTGTTTTATGGAGATTCGGACCAAGAGTCCACATATGTGGACATCAATTTTCTCCAAAAGTACACAATATCAAAATCTGATACTTAGTTTTAATTCTAATTAGGTTCCAATGATCCCAAATAGTAAAGAGAAATTAAAAATGCACATAAAAAAACCTCTTGGGCCTTAGGAGGTTAAAATAAATACTTGGTGCAGAAGAAGATTAGAGAAATGATGATCTTTTTTATTTGATAAATGCAACCACTGAGTGTGATTCCATTTGATTTCTCTTTTTACATGTGTTACTTTTTTTTTGTCCACAAGATGGTGTAGTTGGACATATTACATCACTTGGCGAAGCATTGACTCCTGTACCGGTACAACTGCCTGAAAACCTCAGATGTTCATGGGGCTTCATTTGTCACCAACTTTAGTCCAGCAGGAGGGAAACGATCAAATGTGTTTATTTTGTGATTCCACATGATCTTAAAGTGCTACAGGCTGTGAGCTTTGTTCAGTCTGGGGGGTGTTTTTATTCACCTGATCCCAGGCACCACTAAGCAGGAAAAACACTTCGTCCTTTCACAATAAAACAAGTCGTCCTTTCACAATAAAGTTCCGTTTTGCTCATTTCCTGCACCTCATGTGAGTTTAGTTTAGCCCCAGTGAAATAAATATTTCTATGATGATAAAAATATTTAAAATAAATCATATTATTCCATCTGATTTCAGTCGTCCTCGCTCAGAAATGATTTGATTCAATCAGTTTTGAGAAAAGTGAAGTGTGAAGTGTAGTACAGGTGAGTGTCCACCTGAGGGCGCTCAACACTCTGGGGAAACTTGGTGTTCTAAAAATCTTATGAACATAAAACTCCAAAGCAGCTTTTCTGTGTAAAACAGATCCTGAAATCTCCAACGTGTGGAAAAGTGAAGCCTGACTGTAGGTGGCGCTCTTCTGCTGCGTTCCGTTGTTCTCGGGACTCGGGGAAAGTGCGATGGAGCAGCCGATCAAACCGAGGTTCTGAAACACAATCTGGGGCGAGTTCGGCGCAGACCGAGTCCGTGGGATTTACGTCACAGTGAAACGCGGGCGCTGCAGTAAACGAGGGGAAGTGTGTGTCGGTCGCGTTGATGTGTTCAGTCGTGTTTGTGGAAAAACTCTGTCGTGACATTTTTTACTTTTTCACTTTATTTAACAGTGACACAAGTTTTTTTTCTGACAGAACAGAGTCACCCACAGTACTTAAGTAGTTTCTGTTCGCTGATACGAAATAAACATTAAACTTTCTCTGACTTTTTCTGACACATTTCCAAACCTTTGTGCTCCTCTCAGATGTTCAGATGTTCGTCCAGTCGGCTCCAGACGCTCCAGACCCCAAACATCTGTGGATTCTGATTTAGTCCAGGTGCCCTCCTGTCCTGTTTCAGTCACATGTTTCACACACAAACCCTCAGACTGAAAACACTCTGTTCCACCTTGTGATGTCATCATGTGGTGATACAGGAACTGCTCCACTGTGTTTTTAAACTCCACACACCTTCACTAGAACCACTGCAGTCCTGGAGTCACTGATCTCGACTGAACTAAAGGGAAAAGGAGCTGAGAAATTCATGACATCACAAGGTGGAGCAGAGCGTTTGGAGCTTTGCAGATGTAACAGACTCAGAATAAAGATTTACTCAAACTGAGATGATTAAACCTCAGACTCTGTGTGATATAAAACCTGAAACTGTGCAGATGCTTGGAGAGTCAACTTCAGGCTTTGACCTGTGACCTCCTCTGTGACCTGTGACCTCCTCTGTGACCTCCTCTGTGACCTGTGACCTCCTCTGTGACCTCTGACCTGTGTTACACAAAATGCACACACACTCTTAAGTCTTACATTTATTTACAGACATTTGAAAAAGTCTCAAAAAGTGGAAACATCAGACACCAAAGAAGTTTTACGTCTCCAAAAGTGTAAGAGATCGTTTAAGCTGAAGCAGAAGGTGAAAGGAGAGAAGGCCTCACAGAGAATACCTGATTCTGGGTTTACAGCGACTCACATAACAGCATTTCTGGACTGTGACATAAAGTGGAGCTCCACCTGAACATCCTGCACCAAGTCCTCCAGACGACTGAAGACACGGCTGCACTGAGCACTGACGTCCTGAAGGCTCTGGAGAGAGGAGGCCTCATTAATATCATCGATCAGTTTAGTGATGAGTTCCTCCATCTGCTGCAGCTTCTCAGTGTTCATCTTGTGTCGGGAGAAGAACCCTCGAATGAACTTCAAGCCCAGACGCATGGTGTTGATCTTCTTCTTAAACTTTCTCAGCAGCACCCTCATCCGTTTCTGATCTTCTCTGTCACGTCTGCGGTCTCGCTCATAAACCTCCTTGACGAAGTGCTTCCTTAGGAACAGCCCCACGCCCACCCCGAGACCCACTCCAACGCCCACCCCGACAACCCCTGCGACAGGACCCAGCTTCAGCCCGGCAACAACACCCGTCCCCACTCCCTGCACAACTGCTCTACCACAGGCATCATGAGCCTCCCTCCCCTGTTCCTCTTTGCGGTCACAGATGTCGTCTCTGATGTTCTTCAGGTCTTCATCGATCTGATCCAGACGCTGTTTGTGGCTCTGAAACTGAGCGGCCAAAGACTCAGCTTCTCCTGAACCGACCAGTGACCTTATGAACATCCTGGACGCCGCCATGGAGCTTCTGTGTGGAGACAGAGTCTGAGTGAGGTTAAAGGTGAAGGACGTGAAAAGAAGTGACTTAGGTTTAGTTCTAAGTTACAGCAAAACTCACGAGACCTTTGTGTTTGAAACATCAGAAATGATCTACTTTTATTATTCAGTCATAATTAATAAAACATTTGTTGTGAAAGTAAACTGTTTATTTACTGACCGAGTTACACAGAAGCATTTAAATCTAAAACCTGTAAACGAGTGTCGCCTCCTGCTGTTTACAGATCAGAGCTCAGAGAAACTCCCAGAGTTTTCTCAAGTTCTGACGTTCTGTGTCGAGTCTAAACTGACTCTGTGACACGTCTCACACATCCAAGAGAGTGGACAGGTCCAGGAGAGTGGACGTGTCTCATGCAGACCAGGTCCAGTGAATTGGACGTCTGAAGTTATTTATATATAAAATAGAAAGTTTAGGCCCAAACTAGAACTTTGTGGAATTCCACACTCAGATTTAGAGTTCGGCTAAAGCTCCAGCCTGAGTGAATAAAGGCTGGAAATAAAAACTGTGGGTTTACGATGTGGAGAACCTTCTGTAAGTCCTGTTCTTCTTTTTATCAACTATTGGAGATCAGAGTTTCTGTTTCTGTTCTGAGCCAAACGTGTTTGATGAGACCAGTTTGAGTCCAGACTCACTTAAAGGTGCAAAGTCACACAAAACTAACTTGGACCAGAACATGGTCTAAGATAGTTTTGTGTGACTTTGACCATGTTCTGATGTTCTGATGCTGTTGTGTTGTTGTTGTGTTGTTATTGTTCTGTTGTTGTTGTTGTTGTGTTGTTGTTGTTGTTGTTCTGTTGTTATTGTGTTGTTGTGTTGTTCTGGTCACACTCAGAGCTGAACTTGTGTTTGTTTGTTTCTTTATTCTGAGTCTGTTACATCTACAAAACTCCAAACACTCTGTTCCACCCTGTGATGTCATCAGGTGAACAGCTCCTTTTCCCTTTAGTTCAGTCGAGTTCGGTGTTTCCACGACTGAAATGATCCAGAGTCGTTGAGTCTCTGTTTGTCCCTGAGCTTCAGATCAGAGTCTCCTGAGTCTGACCACATGTTCCTCCAGACACACACACCTCTGTCCCTCTGTCCCCTGTCTGTCTGTCTGTCCCCTGTCTGTCCCCCTGTCTGTCCCACTGTCTGTCCTGTCCTGTCTGTCTGTCCCTGTCTGTCTGTCCCCTGTCTGTCCCCTGTCTGTCCCACTGTCTGTCTGTCTGTCTGTCCCCTGTCTGTCTGTCCCCTGTCTGTCCCCCTGTCTGTCTGTCCCTGTCTGTCCCCCTGTCTGTCCCCTGTCTGTCTGTCTGTCCCCTGTCTGTCCCTCTGTCTGTCCCCTGTCTGTCTGTCTGTCCCTCTGTCTGTCTGTCCCCTGTCTGTCTGTCCCCTGTCTGTCCCTGTCTGTCTGTCTGTCCCCCTGTCTGTCCCTGTCTGTCTGTCTGTCCCCTGTCTGTCCCCCTGTCTGTCTGTCCCCCTGTCTGTCCCTGTCCCCTGTCTGTCCTGTCTGTCTGTCTGTCTGTCTGTCTGTCTGTCCCACTGTCCCTCTGTCTGTCCCTCTGTCTGTCCCCCTGTCTGTCCCTCTGTCTGTCCCTCTGTCTGTCCCCCTGTCTGTCCCTGTCTGTCTGTCCCCCTGTCTGTCCCCCTGTCTGTCTGTCTGTCCCCTGTCTGTCTGTCTGTCCCCTGTCTGTCCTCTGTCTGTCCCCTGTCTGTCCCCTCTGTCTGTCCCCTGTCTGTCCCTCTGTCTGTCCCCCTGTCTGTCCCCTGTCTGTCCCTCTGTCTGTCCTGTCTGTCCCTGTCTGTCCCTCTGTCTGTCCCTGTCTGTCTGTCTGTCCCTCTGTCTGTCCCCCTGTCTGTCCTGTCTGTCTGTCCCTCTGTCTGTCCCTCTGTCTGTCCTCTGTCTGTCCCACTGTCTGTCCCCTGTCTGTCTCTGTCTGTCCCCTGTCTGTCCCTCTGTCTGTCCCTCTGTCTGTCCCCCTGTCTGTCCCTCTGTCTGTCTGTCCCTCTGTCTGTCCCTCTGTCTGTCCCTCTGTCTGTCCCCCTGTCTGTCCCCGTCTGTCCCTCTGTCTGTCCCCCTGTCTGTCCCTGTCTGTCTGTCCCCCTGTCTGTCCCTGTCTGTCTGTCCCCTGTCTGTCCCTCTGTCTGTCCCTCTGTCTGTCCCCCTGTCCCTCTGTCTGTCCCCTGTCTGTCCTCTGTCTGTCCCCTCTGTCCCTCTGTCTGTCCCCTCTGTCTGTCTGTCTCCCCTGTCTGTCTGTCTGTCCCCCTGTCTGTCCCTCTGTCTGTCCCTCTGTCTGTCCCCCTGTCTGTCCCCCTGTCCCTCTGTCTGTCCCCCTGTCTGTCCTCTGTCTGTCCCTCTGTCTGTCCCCTGTCTGTCCCCTGTCTGTCCCTCTGTCTGTCCCCTGTCTGTCCCTCTGTCTGTCCCTGTCTGTCCCTCTGTCTGTCCCTGTCTGTCTGTCCCTGTCTGTCCTCTGTCTCTGTCTGTCCCCCTGTCTGTCCCTCTGTCTGTCCCCCTGTCTGTCCCTCTGTCTGTCTGTCCCTCTGTCTGTCCCTCTGTCTGTCCCTCTGTCTGTCCCCCTGTCTGTCCCCGTCTGTCCCTCTGTCTGTCTGTCTGTCCCTCTGTCTGTCCCCCTGTCCCTCTGTCTGTCCCCCTGTCTGTCCTCTGTCTGTCCCCTGTCTGTCCTCTGTCTGTCCCCCTGTCTGTCCCTCTGTCTGTCCCTCTGTCTGTCCCCATCTGTCCCTCTGTCTGTCCCCCTGTCTGTCTCTCTGTCTGTCCCCCTGTCTGTCCCTCTGTCTGTCCCTCTGTCTGTCCCCCTGTCTCTCTGTCTGTCCCTCTGTCTGTCCCTCTGTCTGTCCCCCTGTCTGTCTGTCCCCTCTGTCCCTCTGTCTGTCCCTCTGTCTGTCCCCGTCTGTCCTCTGTCTGTCCCTCTGTCTGTCTGTCCCTCTGTCTGTCCCCCTGTCTGTCCCTGTCTGTCCCTCTGTCTGTCCCTCTGTCTGTCCCTCTGTCTGTCCCTCTGTCCCTGTCTCTGTCAGAAGAAGGGAGGTCCATGTTACTGGCCCTGGCCCTTTGATATTTGTTTAAAGTGCTCCCGTTCTTCTTTAATTGCTTTTGATTGCGCATGATGCTCCCGGTCCGTGAGCCCTGGACCCGGATGCGCGGGAGTACCCGACGTGGGACGGAGGCTGGCGTCGCAGCGCGTCAGCGATTGGCCCTTCATCCCTGCGCTTCCACCAATCGGCGGATGACACCTGTGGGGGTGTGCGGGGGATTGAAAAGGGACCATCTTCCGCCTGCTCGAGGCGGCTGATCACTGCGGCCAGCTCGCCACTTTTGTTTGATGTTGGGTTGTCTCTTTGTGTTATATTGTCGGCTATTGCCTTGTTTAGTTCGTTGAGACACCTTTTTTGTTCGCAGAAAACTTTGAGTTAGATTTGGTACTTTGTATTTAGTTAGGGCTCTTTAGTTTATTAGATTATTTTGTTTAACTCCCATTTATTTTTCACCTTAATTGCCTGTTTTTTTTTTTGTCTTCCCTTACACTGTAAATAATAAATGCACAATTTTTTGTTAAACCTTTAACATCCTGGTTTTTTTTGTTACTTCCCTTTCTCCCCGAGCAAAGGGGACGTAACAGTCCATTTCCTGCTTCCTGCATTTTTCTTCATAATTGTGTAAAAGGCTGAAGCAGAAAAGAGGAGGAGGAGGAGAGACGAAGAGCAGAGCGGCTGAGTCCATCGTGAACTTTTCACACTGCAAATTTCTCCAGGATTGAAAAACTTCTCTCAGGTTTTTTCATCTTGTTTTCAGATTTATGATTTAGTTTCTGACAGAAACTGTCACAGATTTTTCCTTCATGACTCGACTCATCAGAAAATCTTAATGAGGCAATAAATGTTTAAAAGAAACGACGATCCACTGAGCAGAGTTTCCCTGAAACTGAAACATTTCACCTTTTTAGATTCAGTCAAAGATTTACTCCAGACTCCAGTCTGTTTGTCTCTAACTTCTATAAACGTATTTCCAGCCCCTGAGCTTTGAGCACAGACGATTATTTTCAGAAACGTGTCCAGTAAAATGTTCTTCTGCAGGACAGAACATTTAAAACTTTAAATCATTTCCTGATCGATTCAAGTGTTTAGATTTTACACTGAATTAAACGTTTGTGTCGTGTAAAAGTGAAACAAAGAAGAGTCTTACCTGAGTGTGAGCAGAGACGATCTGAGCGCTCAGACGCTCCTGCACCTCATCAGGACTCTCACCGACCAATCACAGAGCTCCAGCCCCACAGGAAGAGACAGCACACAGGGAGGGCATCTGACACACAGGGAGGTCACCTGACACACAGGGAGGGCATCTGACACACAGGGAGGGACCTGACACACAGGGAGGTCACCTGACACACAGGGAGGGCATCTGACACACAGGGAGGTCACCTGACACACAGGGAGGGCACAGTAAACCTGTTTCTCTTGGCTGTGAGCAGGTCACATGGTTTCACAGAATCAGTCTCGCTTACAAGAGACAGTTTGACCTGAAGAGACCTGAGACCAGACAGAGGACATATTCAACTGTCCAACAAGAGCCAACGTGTCCAACATGTTCATGTGGGTTTTTGTTGAGGAACAGAGTCAAAACATGAGACAAAATCTACGTTCAGACAGCAGGGCTTAACGCTCAATTCAGATTTTTTTGTGAAATCCGATGTTTTTGCGAGGTCGTTCACATTTCCAATTAAATGTGACTTGTATGTGACTCCAGTGTGAACAGTAAAAGGCCCGAAAGTGTCCCGCATGCACATTGGAGCACACGACGTCAACCGCAGCGAGCGTCTCTGTGTTTACACAAGTTGTCCAAACATGGACGCAGCATCGAGCACCTGGAGATTTTACAGTTCCGGTTTCCGCCTACTTCAGCGCAGAATAGTGACGTTTGTGTCTTGTTGATAACGTGTAGGTGGATGAATGCACTTTGGCCGTTCAGACTGAAGTCACATGTCAAAAGATCAGATATGTATCAGTTTCAGGAGCACAGATCCAAGTGTCCTGGGTCACATTTGAAAAAATCGGATCTGTGCCATTCAGACGTCATTAAAAGATCAGATACAGGAACATAGAGACAAAAAATCGGATTTGGGTCACTTCAGGTGCATCTGAACACAGCCAAAGAGACAATGTCTCTTTAACTTTCACTTTGGGAACAAAATACAACGTTTACAACAAAGTTCCACATTTGAGTTTGTCGGAGCAAAATCATCAATGAAACAACAACTACAAATATAATGAAATAAAAATAGATAATAAACGACAGAAGTCAGGATGTGGTGAAATGTTCTGCCAAAGATGTTCATTTGTTTTCTTACGTCCTTCAACTTGTTGGGTTCTTTTTCAAGAAAATACAGTCACGTGTTTTTACTTTGTGGACAAGTTTCTGCTGCTTCATCCTGGACAGTTCTGAAGATGAAGCAGCAGCAGAAACTTGTTTTGTCTTTAAAAAGAAAAGAAGAAAACAAGTTAAAGTTAAATGTTCTGTTCAAACAGAAGTGAAGGATTCTGGGAGGATGAGTTCTTTGGCCGGCGGACATGTTTGTAGTCTCAGTTTGCTGAAGGTGTTTTTGTGTTTTGTTGTACTTATACTGTAGTACTGTGGTACTTATACTGTAGTACTTATACTGTAGTACTGTAGTATCTATACTATAGTACTTATACTGTAGTACTGTAGTACTTATACTATAGTACTTATACTGTAGTCCTTATACTGTAGTACTGTAGTATCTATACTAAAGTACTTAGACTGTAGTACTGTAGTACTTATATTATAGTACTGTAATACTGTAGTACTTACACTATTATAATATTTATAATACTGTACTTATAGGTACGATTAGACTCACGTCACACAGAGTTTCTTGTTTGTGGCGCTTTTCATTTTACAGGGAAACGATCCTCAGATGAAGAGATGAGTTGAAAATCTTGATTTAATTGTAATGTTGTTCATTCGTCTTCAAGAGAAACAACTGCACCAAAAAAGAATCAGAACAAAGAAAACAGAAACAGAAAGGTAGATGAAGAGTTTTTGACAGAAATGACGAAACAAACAACTTTAAATCTGAGTCAAAAAAACTCGATTAAAATTCAAATATCAAGAAAAAAATACAAGAAATAATAAGAACTAATTTACCCAAGACATGAGTAAAACCAGAACTAAACCAGAACTAAACCAGGACTAAACCAGGACTAAACCAGAACTAAACCAGGACTAAACCAGAACTAAACCAGAACTAAACCAGAACTAAACCAGAACTAAACAGAACTAAAGAACTAAACTAAACCAGGAACTAAACCAGGACTAAACCAGAACTAAACCAGAACTAAACCAGGACTAAACCAACTAAACCAGACTAAACCAGACTAAACCAGGACTAAACCAGGACTAAACCAGAACTAAACCAGGACTAAACCAGAACTAAACCAGAACTAAACCAGGACTAAACCAGGTCTACAGAGACAGAGCAGGTTCTTGTCTCATCCTCGGGTCTTTAGACAAACGACGTGAGTCTGAGGCTAAAACCAGAAAAGCAGAAAATCAGAGTCTGAAAGTTTCAGTGTTTGTTTCTGTGGAGCAGCGTTTCATTTCCATCAGTCTAAATGTTTCAGCTCGGCTCTTTTGTCCAGGTCCAGTTTCACTTCAGCTTCAGTCAGAGACAAAAATATAAAAGCCGATCTGCTGAACGGCTCTTTCAGATGAACCGACACAAAAGATCCGGATCTCATAAAAGAACCAAAGTCACATCACAGGTCTGGATCAAGAGCAGACCGCGCTGCCGCCTCCTGCCGCACCCTGCCGCCTCCTGCCGCCTCCTGTCGCCCCCTGCCGCCTCCTGTCGCCCCCTGCCGCCTCCTGCCGCCTCCTGCCGCCCCCTGCCGCCTCCTGTCGCCTCCTGCCGCCCCCTGCCGCCCGCATGCGCGGCTCTGGTTCTGTGTTTGTCAGTGTAAAGTCAATCAAACTGATTTGTCTTTGTATCAGGTCCACAGTGAAACTAACAGAAGAGTCTTTGTGGACCTGGGCTCTTTCACACGACACAGATCTGCCCCAGGACACGATGTGCTGATAAAAACACACAAATACAACCAAAGATTCAAGCTCTGTGGATTTTAACGGGGACACGCGCCTCCACTCACGTAGAGCCTCAAAAAACAGGACGGATCCTATTTTCTCAAATCTGCGCGCGCAGGACGCGCCGCTCCACACGCGCGTCCCGCGTCACTTTCAGTGTTTTCTAAAAGTGACGCGTCCAAACGCTGCACTTTTTACGCGTGCGTCGGGCGAAACGCGCGCGCAGTGGAGCCAGGCTCTTATTGTGAAACCCTCGTGTCCCGGAAGTGCGTTACCTGTGCGCGCGGTCAGCGGCTGTGCGCGTGCGTCAGGTGAGAGGAGCTCGCGCCATGGGGCTCGTGTACTCAGAGGTGAGGCTCTTTTATTTACGCGCCGCTTTTTACGTACAAGAAACGAGCGCGCGCGTGCGCGTACGTAAGGTCCAGAACCAGACCCAGACCAGACCGAGACCAAGACCGGGTCTAAGGAGGGTTCAGAATGTGACATGTGAATGTGCCCTGGTTTAGTTCTGGTTTAGTCCTGGTTTAGACCTGGTTTAGTTCTTGTTTAATCCTGGTTTAGTCCTGGTTTAGTCCTGGTTTAGTTCTGGTTTAGACCTGGTTTAGTCCTGGTTTAGTTCTGGTTTAGACCTGGTTTAGTCCTGGTTTAGTTCTGGCTTAGTTCTGGTTTAGACCTGGTTTAGTCCTGGTTTAGTTCTGGTTTAGACCTGGTTTAGTCCTGGTTTAGTTCTGGCTTAGTTCTGGTTTAGACCTGGTTTAGTCCTGGTTTAGTTCTGGTTTAGACCTGGTTTAGTTCTGGTTTAGACCTGGTTTAGTTCTTGTTTAATCCTGGTTTAGTTCTGGCTTAGTTCTGGTTTAGACCTGGTTTAGTCCTGGTTTAGTTCTGGTTTAGACCTGGTTTAGTTCTGGTTTAGACCTGGTTTAGTTCTGGTTTAGACCTGGTTTAGTTCTGGTTTAGTTCTTGTAGCACGTGCTGTAGTTTTTATGTAAATGAAAAGAGGAAGAGTCAGAGATGAAGCAACAAAATGTTTAACCACAGAACACAGAGTACTACAAATACTACTACTGCTACTACAACAAATACTACTACTACTACTGCTACTACAAATACTACTACTACTACTGCTACTACAACAAATACTACTACCACTACTGATACTACTACTACTGCTCTCTTGCTCCTGTTGTCAGTTGTTTGTGTCGGGGTTTTGTCTCTAAGGCTCCACATGTGGCCCACAGCTGCAGACCTGGACCAGACCTGGACCAGACCTGGTTTAGACCTGGTTTAGACCTGGACCAGACCTGGATCAGACCTGGTTTAGACCTGGTTTAGACCTGGACCAGACCTGGATCAGACCTGGTTTAGACCTGGTTTAGACCTGGACCAGACCTGGATCAGACCTGGTTTAGACCTGGTTTAGACCTGGACCAGACCTGGATCAGACCTGGTTTAGACCTGGTTTAGACCTGGACCAGACCTGGATCAGACCTGGTTTAGTCCTGGTTTAGACCTGGTTTAGACCTGGATCAGACCTGGTTTTTGTGTTTGTCGTGTTCTTTTGCTCGTGTCACTTTATCTCGTTCTTGTATTTGTTACTTGTAGTAGTAGTATTTGTATTAGTAGTATTTGTAGTAGTAGTAGTATTTGTAATAGTAGTATTTGTAGTAGTAATAGTATTTGTATTAGTAGTATTTGTAGTAGTAGTAGTATTTGTATTAGTAGTATTTGTAGTAGTAGTATTTGTATTAGTAGTATTTGTAGTAGTAGTAGTATTTGTAATAGTAGTATTTGTAGTAGTAATAGTATTTGTATTAGTAGTATTTGTAGTAGTAGTAGTATTTGTATTAGTAGTATTTGTAGTAGTAGTATTTGTAATAGTAGTATTTGTATTAGTAGTAGTATTTGTAGTAGTAGTAGTATTTGCTGTAGTAGTATTTGCAGTAATAGTAGTATTTGCAGTAGTAGTATTTGCAGTAGTAGTAGTATTTGCAGTAATAGTAGTATTTGCAGTAGTAGTATTTGCAGTAGTAGTATTTGCAGTAGTGATAGTAGTATTTGCTGTAATAGTAGTATTTGTAGTAGTAGTATTTGCAGTAGTAGTATTTGCAGTAGTAGTATTTACAGTAGTAGTATTTTCTGTAGTGATAGTAGTATTTGCAGTAGTAGTATTTGCAGTAATAGTATTTACAGTAGTAGTATTTACAGTAGTAATATTTGCAGTAGTAGTAGTAGTATTTGCAGTAGTGATAGTAGTATTTGCTGTAATAGTAGTAGTATTTGCAGTACTAGTATTTGCAGTAGTAGTATTTGCAGTAGTGATAGTAGTATTTGCTGTAATAGTAGTATTTGCAGTAGCAGTATTTGCAGTAGTAGTAGTATTTGCAGTAGTAGTATTTGCAGTAGTGATAGTAGTATTTGCTGTAATAGTAGTATTTGCAGTAGCAGTATTTGCAGTAGTACTAGTATTTGCAGTAGTAGTATTTGCAGTAGTGATAGTAGTATTTGCTGTAATAGTAGTATTTGCAGTAGTAGTATTTGCAGTAGTAGTAGTAGTATTTGCAGTAGTAGTAGTAGTATTTGCAGTAGTAGTATTTGCAGTAGTAGTAGTAGTATTTGCAGTAGTAGTATTTTCAGTAGTGATAGTAGTATTTGCAGTAGTAGTATTTACAGTAGTAGTATTTGCAGTAGTAGTAGTAGTATTTGCAGTAGTGATAGTAGTATTTGCTGTAATAGTAGTATTTGCAGTAGTAGTAGTAGTATTTGCAGTACTAGTATTTGCAGTAGTAGTATTTGCAGTAGTGATAGTAGTATTTGCTGTAATAGTAGTATTTGCAGTAGTAGTAGTCGTATTTGCAGTAGTAGTAGTAGTATTTGCAGTAGTAGTATTTGCAGTAGTAGTAGTATTTGCAGTAGTAGTAGTTTTGCAGTAGTAGTATTTGCAGTAGTAGTAGTAGTATTTGCAGTAGTGATAGTAGTATTTGCTGTAATAGTAGTATTTGCAGTAGTAGTATTTGTAGTAGTAGTAGTAGTATTTGCAGTAGTAGTATTTGCAGTAGTAGTATTTACAGTAGTAGTATTTGCAGTAGTAGTAGTAGTATTTGCAGTAGTGATAGTAGTATTTGCTGTAATAGTAGTATTTGCAGTATAGTAGTAGTATTTGCTGTAATAGTCGTATTTGCAGTAGCAGTATTTGCAGTAGTAGTAGTATTTGCAGTAGTAGTAGTAGTAGTATTTGCAGTAGTGATAGTAGTATTTGCTGTAATAGTAGTATTTGCAGTAGTAGTAGTAGTATTTGCAGTAGTAGTATTTGCAGTAGTAGTATTTACAGTAGTAGTATTTGCAGTAGTAGTAGTAGTATTTGCAGTAGTGATTGTAGGAGCTATTTGCTTATTTTGTTGATTCTAAAATGTGTTTATTATTTTTGTTTGTTAGTTATCTTACTAATTTAGTTTTGTTAATTTGTATAATATATTTTTGCTATGTTAATGTTATTCTTGCTAATTTCTTAGTTTAAATTGGTATTATTTACGTTAGCACCTCCTTTTTGTTTTTGGTTTAATTCGGGTCACCTAGGGGATAAAAGAGGGTGGTACACGTAGACCAGAGTGACCTGGGGCCTATGGTTTTTTACCAGTCACGAGGAGAAGCAGCAGGAGTCGCCTTAAACATGTTTTCCTTGTTGTTTGCCCAAACTGGAAAATAAACCTTGGAAAATCATCTTTTGTCATGGACATTGATTTGTGCTGCGTAAACCACATCCCCATGGTGCCAAAGGTGATTATTTGAGTTATGTTTAGTTCTGAGTTTGCCCACGCTTTTGTTACTTTTATTTGACAAATAGTCACTTCAGTGATAGTAGTATTTGCTG